AAGAAGATATAAAAATCTCTCAAGAGAAGATCAAGTCTCTTGATTTTTTTTGTTTTATAATAAGGAGTCTGCTTCTCAACATCGTATCTTAAGTGACTCCATTTCTCCTAAGTAAATTAAAGGCTATCATATAATTTGTGTTAAAGGACAATTTCGTGAGAAACCTTTCACTTCTTCTTTTTATTCTGGTAATACTAAGACAATGTTGAAAACTTATTTCATGCTAATATCTAATAGCAAACACTATCTAATTCTATGCTAAAAGCAGATCTTGTTAGTTCCATAACTCATTTAGACTCAAATTCTGGAGTGAATTAAGGTATTACTATCAGACTAAGGCATGAAGTAAAAGGAAGCCTGCAGGACTAACATTTCAGGAGCCACATAAATATGGGTACTAAAATCCTAAATTGTATTTATTACAGATATCAGAGAAAAAAAGGAGTAAGGCATTTTCCATGAAACTTGATCAATGGTTACTTATGACCTGTGGTGGAAGAAAAGCCTGCATACCTAACTCAAAAGCTGAAGAATGCAAAAAGTATGGAGTTTGGAGAAGAAATTAGAATCATTGGTATAAATTCCATTGACTCAAAATCCATTTGATGACAAGATTCAGATTCCATGGTCAAATTTGAATACTCACCCGAAGCCTGACCAAGAAAAACTAAAAAAAAGGTATGTTTTGTTCTTCACTTTGCAAACTTCTTTACTCAATGAATTAATTAAGTATAACTGAATACAAATTTTCTAATAGATCTCTAGAGAAATTATTTTTGCTGATAACAAAAGAATCTTCAGAAATATTTAAAAAGAAACTATGTTGTACTTGACTATACTAAATAAGTCATTAACTAGAAGATGATCATATTTATGGAAACAATATTATCACCTTTTGTGATAATACTGCTACCAGTTAGTAGTCAAAGAAACATGCTCAACATTCATGAATTAAGCACATCTATTTGAAAAAATAATCTCCAGTTTTAAAGAGGAAATTCTTAACTCAAAATGGAATATCAAAGACTGACAACTAACAGTAGATGCCTCACTCAACATCTAATCCTACTAGACTCTGATGTCATATAGCTTTTGAAGGTATGTCTTTGTCACTCTGAGCTTGCACACTGATTGTTTAAATTTCACTACACACCTATACACACCGAGGTATTTCTTTTTGTTAACCCAGAGTCGTTCTAGCCACCCTTTGTTAACCCAGTTTAAGCCTTTTTCCCTTTATTTGTTATAACCACGTTATGTGAACCATTAGCCTAAACAGTTCCCCACCTTGCTCAGATAGGTGTTGTTAGAATAATCTATGAAAAAAATTCTAAGTTTGGGGTGGAGATACCAAAAAGAACTAGGTAAATGCAAGAAATTTTTTGATAGAAAATAGATTGTGAAAAAAAAACATTTACTTAGCGGAAGAAGTTAGTTTGAAAAATCAAGAATACATGCTCAAGAAGATCGTTTGAGTAGAAACTAAAGAATTCCGATGAAAAGATATCGAATACCCCTAATCGATGCAAAGTACACAAAGAAAATGGCGACACCGAATCTGAGCCATAACCACTTGCTTTCCCATTTTTTTTTATATCTCACCATGACCTTAAGCCCCATTAAAACCGTAAAAAATCTCAATAGGTGTGTGTGGTGTGTGTGTGTGTGAGAGAGAGAGATAAAGATAGATGGTATTCAAGTTTATGAGTTGACTTTGCATGCTCTGACTTGAGTATAAATACTTTAACCCAGAGAGATTTTGGTGAGAGTGTGAAAAAGTTGACAGGTAAATAAGTGCTTTGATGTGGAAGTGTAGCAGAAAGTTCAGATCGGGGAAGCAGGAAACCTGACGAAAAAGTGAAACGAGAGTTGCGGAAGACATTAGTAGTGTTGTGGTAAGTCGACTTTGAAATTTGGGGGAGACTTGTTTGTTGTCTCGAGCATTGCTTGAGAACAAGCAATGAGCTAAGCTTGGGGTTGTGATCGGTCACCATTTCTATTATGTTTTTGTCACACGTTCGACATTTCGTCCACGAATTGGTAATGTTTTTCTCAAACTTTAAGTTTTCTGGTGATTATGTCATGTTTTGTTGCATTTTACGCGTTTGGTGGTAATTCTGATGATTTCAGGTCCATACGGAAAAGAGCACAGGACTCGGGTGAAGGAATTGGAGATTTCAGGAAGTCGGAGGAGATTTTAAAGGCAAATCAGTGGCCTGGCACGACCACCCGTGTCAGAAGGAAGCCTGTGCAGATGAAGTGTAGGTGTTGACAGGGGGTTGTTCCCGTGTCAGCCGGCACAGCCCGTGTCAGCAAGTCTGGGCCAAAACATTGATTTTATGTTGAGAACAGGGAGCCAACACGGCTACCCGTGTCGCTTAACACGACCCGTGTTGTCATGGACGTGTTAGCCCTTATTTTTCCTGATTTGTTTACTGTTTTGACTCTTGAGGGTATTTTTGGAAATTCCTTACTGCTGTATTGGACTTGAGGGTATTTTAGACGCGTTCTGAAAAAGAAAAGGGGACTTTTGACAGAGAAAGAAAATAATGATGAAGAATTGAGCAATCAAGAGAAAAGGGAAAAACTGGAGATTTTCATGCGCATGAGTAATTGAAGATCAAATTAATCCAAAATTCTTGTAATGTTTAATCTAATTGTTAAATTTACTTTGAATATTATGAGTAGCTAAATCCCCCAATGCTAGGGGGTGTCCCTGAATTGCTTATGTACTGATATTATTTCCTTTGTTTGAATGACATCAATGCTTATTTTATTAATCAAGTTTTATCGTTCATTGTTTTTACTACTTTTTTAATCGAATAAATTGATTTAGGTTTACGGTTAACCTTAGGTCAGACAAACCATCATTAATGCAGTTTGATTAATAATGCTCCAGTAGATATTTCCCAGGACTAGGAATACCCTATTGCACTTGGACACTGTTGACACTATTTTCAATGCTTGATTTCAAAGTAATTATCTATGGACATAGTAGTTAGGTTATGTTATTAAGAGGTTTTCTCACTAAGAATTTAGGAGTAAACAAATTTCCAGTCAATAACTTGATAAAATTTGAGTTATGTCTTTGAAATAAGGATTGATTTTGTTACAAGGCAATTCATACACTACCCCTAGTGTGCTCTCATATATGTTATAATCTTATTCTATATTTTGCCTTATTTTTAGTATTGAAATTTTAAATAGTAAAACCATTTTCAAAACCCCTAATTGATTTTGTTTGATTGAATTACCATAAAGCTTGTATTGTCTGACACAGCCCTCGAGATCGATACTGGGGATAAAACCCCTATTTTAACTATAATCGGCAGAATAGTACACTTGCTATTTTACGATCATATTTCAAGGGAATTAATATTTTATTCTCCTTATTTTAATTAGTATTGTAATTCTAACTATAAGTAGCTAAACTATTCTAGATTAGGTTGTGTGTGATGAACCTTTTTCAATCTTGTTGGATTATATGTTGACTTGACTTTGTATGAATCCTTTGAACTATAATTTTATTCAAATGCTTATTGTTCTTAGTGATTTTTATTTGACATGTTCTGTTAAACTAATTTTAGGCACATAGGTAATACTGAACCTTAGGCTATGTGTTGGACCTAGGACAATTGTTCTACTTACGCTGTTTGAATAGGAATAGGAGGCCCCGAGTTGTGGCATAAGGAATTAACATTTTGTATATTGCCTAATCATGCTTAAATTGATGGACTAGGGATAGGAAGCTATGAGTAGTGATTATTGAGTTATTTCATGAGGCATCGATTATCAAACATCAACAAGAGAGAATTAGGGGATTTGATACACAACCTGACCATCGTAGTCAATCTATTTAAATAACTTATTTTGTTTTTCACTATAAAACCTAACCCCTCCCTCCAATTTACCATTTTCCTTACTTTACACAAAAAGTTTCTTGTTCGACCATAATACCTGTGGATTAGATCTTTTATTACCGCGACACTATTGGTACACTTGCCGAGAAGTAATCAAATTTAGGCGTTGTTGCCTGGAACTGTTGATTGCACCAGGGAAACATTTGTGCAACATTTTATCTCCTTTAAAAAGCATGATCGCATTGCTTGGTTTTTTCTTGTAGTTAAAAATTTATCTAATGTTGTTGGAGCTTCATGCAAGCGCAGAGATATTCTTAGAGAAAGTCAAATTCTTAAAGTAATGGAAGCATTAGAGAGTGGAGAAACTTTAACTGGTCGTGGCTTGAATCAAGAAACTACGCTAACAAGAGCTGGAGATACTAGATGAGGATCACATTATGGTACATTACTAAGGTTGGTTTCTTTATTTCCTTCTGTGTGTGATGTGCTAGATATGATTTTAAATGATAGCCTTAGCGCAGAGCAATGAGTTGGAACTCGTAAATTATTGAATACTTTACAATCCTTTGAATTTATTTTTAAATTGCTTTTGATGAGAAATTTATTGAGAATTACTAATGATTCATCTCAAGCACTGCAAAGGAAAGATCAAGATATTGTAAATGCTATGACATTTGTTAAAGTATTGAAGGAAAGATTGCAAAATATGAGAGAAGATGGTTGGTCAAGTCTACTCGATGAAGTGTCATTATTCTGTGAGAAGCATAATATTGACATTATAAATATGGATGATGTCTTCATGTTACATGGAAAACCAAGTCGTAAAGTTGAAAAGGTTTCAAACTTGCGTCACTTTCAAGTCAAGGTCTTTTATCAAGTGATTGATAGACAACTTCAAGAACTGAACAATAGATTTACCGAGGTGAATAGTGAATTGCTTATTTGTGTAGCAAGTTTAAGTCCACGAGATTCATTTTTTGTATTTGACAAGGAAAAGTTGATTAATCTGGCTCGATTTTATTCGTCCGAATTTTCTTTGGTAGAGCTTATGGGACTCGACAATCAACTTGAAAATTACATCATGGATGTTTGTTCTAGTGAGCAATTTTCTAATTTACAGGGAATAGTGATCTTTCAAGAATGATGGTGCAGACTAAAAAACACATTGCTTATCCAATGGTGTACTTACTTTTGAAATTGGCATTACTTTTGCATGTGGCTACGACAACCGTTGAAAGAAGTTTCTTAGCTATGAATTTTGTGAAGAATCAATTGCGCAACCGTATGGGTAATGAATTTTTGAATGATTGTTTGGTAACATACATAGGGAGTGATATATTTGATAGTGTTGAAAATGAAAAAATCTTACAACAGATGCAAAATATAAAGACACGTAGAGAGCAATTATAATATTTGAATATTATGTTGTCTTCATTTTTTTATATATATTTGTGCTTTGTTTTGTAATATTTAACTTTCTAGATATATATTATCATCATTATTTTATGCATGAGTATTTATATTTTTTATAAATATTTATATTATTTTATTTTTATTTTTGTATTAAAAAAATTAACCTTGACCCTATTAATTAAAATTTCTTGATCCATCTCTGACCACCACTACCACAACCCTTTCATATTTGCAAATGCTAGGCTAGATTTTCCCTGACTTGACAGTTTGGATGTTACAATGGATATTCAAAACCGAATAATTCTTTGAAAGGAGGGAAGTTGGGGTCCAAAAGCTTGAAATGTAAGACTTAACCTTGTCATGAACTGATGCAAAAACCAGCCAATTGGTTCCTAACTACTTGGTTAACCCTTGAGCTGATGTCTAGAAGACTGATGGATGGAAATCCAAGATGAATCCACAACAAAGCTAAATTTTTGGTTAAAGTACAAGAGTACATTAGGAAAGAGAAACTTTAAGAGAAAAACTTGCTGCAACATAGCAACACCCCTCTTGCCATCTCTCTAGTCACCTCATTCAGCTTTATTACAACCTGACCTGGTGCTTGAACATATTAGAAACAAGCTTGGCCATCAGAAGCAAGATCAAAGGAGGATTTGTTGTCACTTTTCCTCCAAAAGGAAAGATTCAAGCAAAAACTCCAATTTGCCCTCACCCTTGGTTCTTTTGCTTCCCCTATAAATAGAGCCTCTCCCTTACTTCAAAAACACACCAGCGCTAGCAAGAATTAAAGCAGAAACTATTCCCTTCATCTGTTTCCAACCTTCTTGCAACCTAAGCAACACACCTACAAAACCTCCAAATCTGCCTTGAGCAGAATTGGCCTCAAAACCATTTCCAGCCACGATACATCACTACAAACACTTCACACAAACCACAAATGGTCCATTGAAGCTATCTCAACCACCCTTTTCACCAGAAAATATTTCCTCCCTAAAGTCAACTGTCAAACCTAATAAGTTTGACTTTTTGCATCATTTAGAACCATTCTTTGCTCAATCCATTTCTAAAACTTCTAACCCCTTAGACACTTCACATTTCAGTTATTATTGCTGTCTAGGTTATTGCCATTCACCTGTACACATATTTCTAAGGTCTGTTGCAAAGTTCTCTTGGTGACTTCTAACATAAGGTACTCAAACAGCCTAAAGAGCCTGCTTGGAGAATTTGAGCTACTTGGACTTTGCACTAGAGGTGTGGAGAAGCTTTTCAAACCATCTGCAACTCAACTTAAAATTTGGCAAAAGAAGCTTGCTGAGGAGGTCTTCAAGAGGTAAGTGAACACAAATTTACATATGATCTATCATGACCATGTTTGATATGCACTAGTTTCAACATGTTTAAAAGTCGGTTTAGGTCATGTATGAACCTGTTTGAATGTGGTTTGCATATGTTTGCAAAGTTGCTCTGAGTTAGCTTGCTAATATGCTTAAAAGTCACATTCCATATGCTATATGTTGATTATGCCCATGATTGATGTTTTAATTATTCATAACCTCATTTGTAGACCATTTTAAACATGTTTAGACCCTGCTCAAGTTTAGAACCCTAGGTATTCACAATTGCCATGTTGTTCTTCTCATCAAATTGCTTAGATTTCTAGCTCCAAGTGTGCAATACCTTGTTTCTGTTTAGGGTTGTGCTTAGTTGATCATAAACCTCACTTTTATATCATTTAGGTCATGTATGGACCTAGTTTACTTGCCAAGTTGTTGAATTGAAAGAACTTTCATGATGTGCTATTTATAACATACTCATAGTTTCATTTCATATGCCATGATTTCCTCTCCATAATTCATTTTTTTTTCTAAATTGAATTTGGGTTCCATATGATTATGAACTTCATGTATGATGTGTTTAGAACCTGTTTGAACCTTATTCCTGGTTGTGGCATGACTGAGTTGGTCTTTAAGTTTGAAAATGCAAATTGTCATCAGATTTTGCATTTACCTTCGAATCTCCACATGCATGCATTTTCAGAGGAAAATAAGAGTGCCATTGTATTCCTCTTTCAATTTAAACCAAGTTAAACTCAAATTTTGTAAGAATCCATTGAGTTTTGACTGAGTTTGCTTGGTTCACGGGTTTTTGAGTTTTCCTTGCTTGGCTTGATTTAATTTTGTGCCCAGAAATCATGATTGTAAGGGTTATGATTTTATGGGTTTGTTTGATACATTGGATGTATCACCACCCCAGTGGTTATGACTTGCGCGCCTTGTATACTCTTTGCCTTGCCTATACGAGTTCGATCCATGCCAAGGACAACTCTTTTCCATTTTTGTGATTTTCTTGTATTTTTAACACATATTGATTCTTTCTCCTTAGGTTATCACATGTGCACCATGGTTAGTTTGGTAGGGTTTTAGACCTGTGAACTAGAGGTTGTGTGTTCAACCCTTGTGGAGGACATCCCTTTATTTTTATCACCTTTTCTCTTCATTTTTCTAAAATAACTTAAAATCTTCATAACTTATTCATTTTTCAACATTTTTCCACCCTTATTTTTGCAAAATTTTCTTCATCATGTCTATTTTCAAATAGTAAGTGAATAATTCAAGGATGCCTATCCTAGAAATACTTTAAATCACTTGGAAGTCATGTGTTTTCTTAGGGCTTTTACCTTAATGACTTTGAAATGTTTCTCAACTACCATTTGATTTATCTTGTAAGATTGATTGTGTGATCCACATATGTTTGTTAACATACTTGAATGATTAAAGTTTTCTTTATTCAAAGTCTTATCATGTTCAATCCTTGATTTTGTGAATGCATCTGCTAGAGAACAACACTTTGGACCATACTATACCTCTTGATGTTGTAACTTCTTGAGTGTGTTCATTATGCCTCTCTCTACTTATTTTTGTGTCTTGTCAGAACCATAACATGCTAGGGTTTGATTTTCAATTTGGTTGTTACCATAAAACTTGTTTGTTTTTCCCCATGAAGTTTTGAACACATACTTGAACTGTTGTAACGTTTCTTGTATGCTGATGTACTTGATTGTCATCAATGCATGATTGTAGGTCTTATGTTGTTACATTTGACATTCTTTTATCCCTATAACATGTTTGCCTCAAGTTGTAACTTGCTTAGATTAAAACTTGTTTGAATTGCACGTTTTATTGTTTGTCTTGATGGTTGTTACCTTATTGCTCTTCATCTTTGTTAAGATGTTTAAAGTTGATCTTTCCTTATATGTTTGGTATTGTAAGAACCTCTATCTTGTTCCTTTTAGATATTGTGATATCTTTGGTTGTAACCATTTGACTTGATATTTATCTTTGCTTGATGTTGTTACATGCTTGCGTATATTTTCTTGGTTGTTACCATGCCCTTTTATATGTTCATCATGTTTGAATGAATGCTTATGTGTGCTTTTAACTTTGTTAAGTTATTTTCCAAGTGATGGAACTTGTTAGTTCTCATCTAGTTGCCTCATCTTTTTTCCCATTCCAAAGGAAAGTCTCTCTATTGACCCTTGAGTCATAGATAGCTCATTACCCTCCCTTTGACTTTGTTAAGTCATCTTGAACCCTAACTTAGTTAAGTTAGAACCAGACCACTAGACTTTGCTTAAGTCTAAAGACCTACCCCATCTTAGGAATATCCTTCAATTAGAACTTTAAGGTAAAGTTGGTTAACTCTACATAAGAATCATGGTGATGATTACTTACTCCCTATTCTTGAGTGTTTAATATAGATCTAGAGAGCTTGGTTAAAATCTACACAAGCATTGTTATGTTTGTTCCCCTAGAGTCTTGACCATAGTCAAGTACTTTTTAAATCCTCGGTGAGGTGAACTACGGTTGCTTTGATTCTATCCTAGTTAGGATATGTAGGCATAGGACAAAGATGTCTTTGCGAGCAAACTTAGAACTATCCTTAGGTCTTTACCCAAACCCAAACCCTAATCTCAAGCCATAACATAACCATAGAAAGTTTATCATACACACATACAAAAGGTTCTTGTAGAGTACTACATATGTTTAGGATGTGAAATATCTACCCTAGGCATAACTAACCCCGATCCCCGAATCTCTTAGCGTTGTTGTTACATCATGCAAAAGGTCTTTCTTTCTTTAACCTTTCCTTTGGATAAATCAAAGTCCGGTTGTGAATTGAATGAATTAGGATTCAATTTAATCAATATCTTGATATCATGATTTTCACCGCAACAAAAATGGCGACTTCATTAGGGAAAACTTAAAACCTGAGGGTTTAGCCTCTTTTATATGATTGTATGAATACTTGCTTACATGTATATTTGTAAATATATCTGTTTGTATGCTGTGGACATTGGGTATCATGAGTGGTGAGATAAAGTCCTAGCCCAGACTTGAGTGACACATATGATAGGATGTGATATGATCAATAGTTGACTGTCGGGAGTAGTCCTAGAAAGTTTGACATATGATATAATCACGCTCAGTTGAGACCTCCTTGAGATGATTGGTGATGTATGAGTAGTCATGCATTTCATTAATTGTTTCAACCTGAGAGTCCATGAAACTGAGGACCTTTAGTAACACTTTTACCCCACTAAGCCTTTTTAGGATTTAGTGCGAAAACTATCAGGGAGTAGTCCTGAGATTGTTGTCACGCGATACTACACTCAAACGAGTTTATCTTGAGAATATTGTCGACTCACACGAGTAGTTATATTGGTTGATAATATCCAAAGGATTTACTATGACTCTGGGAACTTTGATAGAACCCGTTCAGCAGGTACAAATAAGACTATAGTGCAAATCCTTGGGGATGGTTAGACCTTGTGACTCCATGCTTTAACCTTGAGCTTGGGGAAGCCTTGTGTGTACATGTGCATTATATTTGTGAATCTTTTCCTATGTGTTATGTGTGCATCATCTCATCATGGCATATCATTTTGCAACTGGTTTTGTAACGCTCAGTTGATATCTTTGTGTAAAACCCTAGAG